AGTGGGTAAAAAGTGGGTAGAGCTCACATTTACCTTTTTACCATTAAAAAGTTACCTTTTTGTCTATTGATGCCAACATCTTGAGTAGTATTATTCATGCAAAGTATCAACAATTTGTGTTCAGTGGAGGTAGAGTTCGAAGTAGGGAAAATAAGAAAAGTTGTAGCAAAATCCTATACACAAAAATAAAAGAAATTAAAATATGAAAAAGAAATATTAATTTCAAAATTGACTTATTCAAAGTGTTAATGAGTCAAAAAGGAGGGGTTCTCTTAGTGTGATAGAAGCAATGTGGGAGCTTTGTTTTTGGAAATAATGCTTCAAACGTTATCCATTAACTTTGAATGTGCTTCCATCCTCCAAATTTTTAACAACACTACTCCATAGGGAAAAACATCAACTACTTCAAATGGTCTCGAACAACGAAATCGTAGCTTCCAGAAAATAACTTTAATTGAGATTTGAATCACAAGACTTGTTCTCCATCATGGAATTGTCGTGGCAAGATGTGTTTATCATACCACTTCTTGCTCTTGTCTTTATAGATTGAGCATTCTCATAAGAATTATTTCAAAGCTCTTCTAATTCATTGAGATCCAACATTCTTTTCTCACCAACAACATCAAGATCAAAGTTCAAATTCTTCAAAGCCCACATAGCTTTTCCATACACAACGCGATATGGAGACATACCCAATGGGGTTTTGTATGATCTCCTATAAGCTCATAAAGATTTATCAAGGCATAAAGACTAGTCCTTCCTTGAAGGAATTACGACCTTTTTCTAAAATTTTCTTTATCTCGCGGTTTTAAACTTCATCTTGACCATTTGTTTGAGGTTGATGTGTTGTAGCAATCCGATGTTTAACTCCATACCGATGTAGCGTTCGAGCCACTTGTTTTCCAATGAACTGAGAACCTTCATCTCTGATGAATGCTCGGGGTGTTTCGAAATGAGTAAAAATGTTATTGTGGAGAAACCTTAGTGCCACTTTAGCATTGTTGGTGGGAAATACTATAGTTTCCACCCATTTTGAGATGTAGTCAACAACAACCAAGGTAAAACGGTTTCCACATTATGAAGGATATGGTCCCATGAAATCCAACCCCCAAACGTCAAACAATTTAATTTTAAAAATAGGTTGCATTGGCATTTCATTGCGGCAAGAAATGTTTCCAGTTCGTTGGTAATGATCACATTGTTGAACAAAATCATTAGCATATTTGAAAAAAAAGACCAACCATATCCACATTGAATAACTTTTGTTGTTGTACACATGCCTCCAAATGATCACCATAAGGGGCATCGTTACAATGGTGTCGAATGTTCTATTGCTCACATTCGAGGATGCATCTTTTAATAATTCGTTCATTATATTACCTGATTAAGTATGACACTTCCCAATGATATACTCTAATATCTCACATGAATTTTTTCTTCCTTAGTGATTAAGGTCAGGTGGCAACATGCCACTCACTAGATAGTCCACATACCAAGGCAAAGTTATTGTGGTTGATAATCTTTTATCAGGGAAAACATCCGGAATCATTAGTATTTTTCCATCTTCACTACTTGATTCATATCGAGATAAGTGATCAACCACTTGATTCTCAGACCCTCTTTATCTTAAACTTCAATGTCAAATTCTTGGAGTAACAGCACCCATTGAATCAATCTTGGCTTAGCATCCTTCTTAGAAAATAAATGCTTCAAAGTAAATGGTCAGTGTAAACAATTTTCTTGGTTCCAACTAAGTAAGAGAGAAATTTGTCAAAAAAAAAAACACCACAACAAGCAATTCTTTTCAGTTATGGTATAATTCACTTGGGCATCATTCAACATTTTGCTAGCATAATTTTTGCATGGAAAACATTTTTCCTTCCTTTTCCCCAACACCGCTCCAGCAACATGGTCACTAGCATCACACATTAGCTTAAAGGGTAAACTCTAATTCGATGCTACTACAATAGGGCCATTGACTAGCTTTAGTTTGATTGTCTCAAAGGACTTGAGCATTTCATCATCAATAATGAGTTTCCTATTTTTCTCCAACGATGAAGACAAATTTGGGAAAAAATCTTGATAAATCTTCTATAAAACCTGCATGTCATAAGAAACTTCTGACAGATTTAACACTAGTGGGAGGTGGCAGCTTCTCAATGACTTCTACTTTAGCTTTGTCTATTTCAATGTCATGGTAAGGAATGTGATGTCCTAGCACTATACTCTCGATTACCATGAAATGGCATTTCTCTCAATTCAAAACTTAATTGGTTTCTTCTCATTTTTTCAACACAGTGGCCAAGTTGGTTAAGAATTGATCAAATTTTCCCCAAAAATAGAAAAGTCATCTATGAATACCTCTATTTAGTCTTCAATCATATCGAAGAATATCACCAACATGCATCGTTGAAATGTTGTTGGAGCATCCATAGGTCAAATGGCATTCTTATAAATGCAAAGGTACCATATGGGCAGGTAAAAGTGGTATTCTATTGATCTTCAAGGAAAATGGCTATTTGATTGTAACTGTTATACCCATCAAGAAAACAGTAAAAGGTTTTACCAGTAAGTCATTCCAACATTTAATTAATAAATGGTAGTGAGAAGTGATCCTTCCTTATGGTTTTATTTAGTTATATATAGTCCATACATATTCTCCACCAGTAGGGGTGTATGTAGTCACAAGCTCATTTTTTTTATTAGTGACCACAGTGATGCCACTTTTCTTTGGAACACATTGAACGAGGCTCACCCATTTACTGTCCAAAATAGGGTATATAATGCCAGCATCCAACCATTTAATGATATCCTTTCTAACAACTTCTTTTATGATCGAATTCAACCTTCTTTGATGCTCAATAGAACTGTTATTAGGATCCTCCAATAATATTTTTTGCATACAAAATATTGGGTTGATGCCTTTAATATCGTCGATGCTCCAAGCTATTACTCATTAATATTGCTTTCGAACAACAATCAGTTTTTATTCATGTGATGTTGCAAGCTGTGCTACCATAATGACTGGAAGAGTATCATTATCACCAAGGAATACATACTTTAAATTCCTGAGTAAGGTCTTCAAATCAAGTATGAACGACTCCTCAATGGATGGTTTAGGATCTTGAATAAGTCGATCAGGAAGTTTTAGAGACTCAAAGTATTACATGTAATTGCCTTTAACTTCCTCGTACTTGGTTAACTCCTCAATTATCACAATATTGCTAGTGGTAACATCCATGTTGTGGAATTCATCACATTGCTCCTTCTCGAAAACATTAATAACATCAATTAAATAGCATTCAACACCATCACTCATATAAGAAACATTATTCAAGACATCAAAATTAATGTGGTCATCATTTAATCACATAGTAAGCTCTCCATTTTCAACATCAATCAATGCTCAGCTAGTAGTAAGGAAAAAAGACCAAGAATAATTGGGACACCCTTATCAGCTTTGCAATCCAATATGATGAAGTCGATGAGGAAGATGAACTTGTCTACTCCAACTAGCATGTTCACAATAATGCCACTAAGATGTATGATGGATCAATCAATGAGCTGCAAAGTGACGGTTATAAGCCTTACTTCTCCGCTGCCTAATTTCCTGAAAATTGATAACGACATTAAGTTAATACTATCTCCCAAGTTGCATAGTGCCTTTACAACAAACTAATTGCCAATAATACAAGGAATAGTGAAACTCCCTAAATTTCTAAGTTTTGGTGGTAATCAACTTGTTGCCATAGCACTATATCCTTCTGTAAAAGTAAATGTTGCAAAACCACCAAGCATTCGCTTCTTGGAGAGGAATTCTCTCATGATTTTGATGTAGTTAAGATTCTACTTTAGAGCTTCAATTAATACAATATTGATTGTTAATTGGCGAAGCACATCAATGAAGGCTTTGTATTATTAGTTCTTCTTGGTCTTCTTAAATCTTTGAGAAAATGGTGGTGGAGGCCTTGGATTTTGTTGTTGTGGCATTGGGTGAATAAAAACGACATTATTTTCGGCATTATGGCTAACAATAGCCCATAATTACTATATTTACATGTTTCCCTTATTGTAACATTATCAGCGGGTGTCGTGAGATCCACTCCCATATCTTTGCCTTTCTCTTGCTATCCAAGCCTCTCGTCATTCATCTTCTTAGGCTCTTCAGCATGTTTTTCAATATTTAATCCATTCCTTATTTTAATATCCTTGCAATGTTCATTGCATTGAACTTTTCCTTGTGACTTTAGATTTTTAGTCGCTAAGTAGTGCTCCTTGCTGCCTATTACTCACAGCGTTTTCCAATTGCCCAACCTGACTTTATAATGCTCTTAATAATGTTGTTTGACTTTCCATATACTCCTTTATTAAAGCTTTAAGAGAATTAGGGTTGGAAGCTTGATTAAAATGATGTCTTTGATAATTCTGACGAGGCTATGTAGCTTGTTGTAGAGGATGATGTTAAGGCTTTGATTGTTGCTGATTGTAATGTTGGGACTGATTTTAATGTTTTTGTTGTGGATTTGTAACATTTTTTCTCCTCCAATAAAATTTTGTATGGTTACGAAAGTTGGCATTATAAGTGTTTCCATAGGAATTATCATTCATATTGTAGTTCCTCACATAGTAGACGGATTTAGGATTTTAAGGGCATCCTCATAGTTATGATCATATCCACAATAAACACATGAGAGGACTGATGATGTCTTTAACTCATACATAACCCCAAATTTTGTAACTTCTTCACCATATCCGTCAATGTTGTGATTTGGGAAGCCATGGAATTGAAAGCATCAGAATCCATTGTTGTAGCATTACGTCTGCCAAACATGTTTCTCGTATTGGGGTATTGATAATCATTGTTTGATATTCTTTCCATAATATCATAAGTCTCATTAAATGTCTTGTCCAAAAATGCTTCATTTGCTGAAGCATCAACAACCATTCGAGTCTGCATGTTCAACCCATTATAGAACATTTCATATTGCGTCCAATGTGGGAATTTGTGCATTGGGCATTTTTGCAACAATTCCTTAAAAAGTTCCCAAGCCTCATGCAAACTTTCATCCACTAACTTCAAGAAGGAAGTGAGGTCATTTCGAAGTTTGGAATTCATATTAGGTAGGTTAAATCGTAGCAAGAACTTTTGTGCTAGCTCATTCCAGTATGTTATAACACAAGGAGGCAGTGATGTCAACCAAGCTCTTTGCAATGAATAAGGAAAAAAATTTAGTTGTAGTGCTTCCTCGAGGACTCCTTACATAACAAAGGAGTCCCAAACCTCCATAAATGTACGAAGGTGTGCTCTAGGACCTTCAATGAATGAACCACTATATTATCCATGGACTGCATCATTTGAAACATCATTGGTTTCAGCTCAAAATTGGTAGCATGAATGGTTGGTTGCATAATGCCAGGATGTAAATCATCTAAAGTTGGCACAACAAATTCACATATAGGTCGATTACGGCCATCCGTGTTGTAAAATTATTGTTGTTCAACTCTATTGCAAACCGGTAATTCTCTTTCATTAGCATGTGGTAATGGCGGTAAAGCATTAGTGATCGGGAGAACAATATTTCAGTATAGAGAGATCTAACTGACTAGTTGTCGTAACATACTTGGTAAATTTGCATCAATGGGTATAGAAATATAGCATTGTTATGTGTTTTTGGGTGGAGCCATCGAGAGAGAAAAACTTGCTAAGGTAATGCTAGACTCGTCGATCTTATTTTTATGGCATTATTAATTGCATGATTGAGTTTAACAACACCATAATCTTTACTTGAGTCGATCTACTTCTTTCATTGTCACTGTTGTGATTCCTTTCATCCCTTCATATCTTTATTTGTATGTTTATTTTAGCTATTATATTATTATTGCTTTGTTCCCAACATCACATACACAATTCATTTATTTTGCTTACTTAGTTATATAGCAATTCTTTGAGTAATACTAGTCTCTATTGATATGATACTCGATGCATTAATTCTCATCCACGTTATAACTTGATATGATGGTGTATGCTTTCACTTTTACTAATTCATTATTTGAAGCATCATTCATCTTAATCTTATTATACTCCAAGAAGCCATCCACGAATCAGAACCAAGAATGCCCAGTAGTATTATCCACAAATGTATCAATATATGATATAGGAAAATTGTCCTTGGGACTTGCGTTATTTAGATCATTATAGTCCACACAATTTGCACATGGACTATATTGGTCACTTGGAGAAATCCCATATCAATTTGCTTGTTTACTTTTTTTTTATCTTCAATAACATATCTAGCCTCATTCTCATAACCTTCTACTACACGGGTTTGCATTCAGACTTTATAGAAAGCTTATGCACTACTATATATGTATCCAAACCCTAATATATCTTAATAATACTAGGAAAAAGATGTCCCTAAACTCTTGAAGAAAAAATATCAAATCTTGTCTCATCTTAAATGACAAAATAATGCCAATCTTTACTTCCCTTCTTTCATCATCACTCCCCAAATTAATGATATCGATTTATTTTTTATGAGGCATACTTTGTTTATCTTTATTTTGCACTAACCTTAAAAATTCGGTTGGAACATCACATTCTGCCTCATTTTCATACTTGTTAATTTCTTCTAAACATATAAGTCGTTTATGATTTAACTAATGATTAAATTTAGGAACATTTGTGCTATTAATATCTGGACACATGGGAAGGAAATATGGATCAATATATATACCTTGGAAGAGAAACTAAATGAGCAAAAGAAACAAAACCTAAAAGAAATGAAGAAAAATAAATAAATGCGAGAAAATGATTGCAACTTCATAAATGATTGAAAACATATTTTATTGAAAAGAAGTAAGTGAAATCAACATGTCCTCCCTTATAAAATATCATTTAATGCTTGTGGGAATAAGAAAAAGGGTTAGTTTCGAGCATTACTCTGGGTTATGCCTAAAAACTACAGGGAGATCCACTATATTCTAGTTGTTGTTGGTAATGCTCAATCCCACATAGTGTTGGAAACACTATTGGGAATGGTATTTAAGGCTTGACATTCCACTTCCTTGTTGAGTGATAGAGAACAAGGGGGGATCTCGCGCACCGCCGCCGCCGTCCGTCCGTCCGTCTCGTCTCGGCTCGGCACGGCACGGCACGGCTCGGCTCGGCTCGGCTCGGCTCGTGGTCGTGGTCGTGGTCGTGGTCGTGGTCGAGGTCGAGGTCGAGGTCGAGGTCGAGGTCGTGGGCGTGGTCGTGGTCGTGGTCGAGGTCGAGGTCGTGGTCGAGGTCGAGGTCGAGGTCGAGGTCGAGGTCGAGGTCGAGGTCGAGGTCGAGGTCGTGGTCGAGGTCGAGGTCGAGGTCGTGGTCGTGGTCGAGGTCGAGGTCGTGGTCGAGGTCGAGGTCGAGGTCGAGGTCGAGGTCGAGGTCGAGGTCGAGGTCGAGGTCGAGGTCGAGGTCGAGGTCGAGGTCGAGGTCGAGGTCGTGGTCGTGGTCGTGGTCGTGGTCGTACGTGTCTTCGACACGTCCGCGCGGATACAGCTGAATTATTTTTTATCAGAAATTAAACAGTTTATTCCTAAATTAAATCAGAAACGTTAAGATGTACCTGGACTGATTTACAGCTTTGTACAGAGGAGACAAGCTGTTAATATCAGGAGTTACAGGAGTTATTTGATTTAATTCCAGGGGTTACATGATATAATTTCGGGAGTTATAACAGCGGAATAATGATACAATGAACCTGGACTATTTCTGAGTCAGGTTCATCTAGACGTTTCAGCTGTTACAAATAAGAGGTTTAATCCTGAAATTTTATGGATGATTTTAACCCTATTTCTAGCCTATAAATAGAGAGCTATATTCAGCTTCTCAACTCACTCCAAAACATTCACAATTCACTTACAAAGTGTTTTCTAAAGTTCTCTCTGTGAGTTCTCTCTGAGTGCTTTCCGATCAGAAGTGCAATACCACCAGCAGTCCACTCCGGTTTCGGGTGTACGGAATTCGGAGCGACCGTGTTAACCTCGGGGGACGGTCCGCCTACTGCAGCGATTACACACATCGAGGCGAATTCGTTTCTAAGGCAGTGGTTCTTACCACGACACGATTTACGAATCTGTTCTTCTTAATTACTGTTTATATTTTCAGTCAGTGCTAAAGGTGTAGTTTTGCAGTTCATATATCCAACAATTTAGAAACGAATTCCATAAACTGCAATCATGTCGACACCTTTGAGCAAACTCATTCCCGATCTTTCCAAGCTCGATGCACTTGATGGAAAGAACTATAGAAGGTGGTCCCAAAGAATTCTGATATTCTTCGAGCAACTTGATCTTGATTACGTGTTGCTCAAGCCACCACCTACCATGCCGCCAACCCCAGCTGTCGGTAATGATGCGGATGCGATCCTCAATGATGATGCCTTAGCAACTGCCGCCGCCGCTCTCGCTACCTACGAGAAATTCGAGAAGGATAACAAGACGGTACGAGGACATCTGCTCAGCCACATGTCAAATAAACTATTTGATATGTTCCTTAGAGAAAAGAGTGCCAAAGCAATATGGGACACTCTCGACAAGAAGTATGGTGCGGATGATGCGGGGATCAAGAAGTACGTTGTCGGCGAATGGCTCAAATTCCAGATGACAGACGACAAGCCAATAATGGATCAAGTCCATGACTATGAGAACTTAGTCGCTGACATCATCGCTGAAGGGATGCAAATGTGTGAGGTGCTGCAAGCCAATGTACTCATTGAGAAGCTGCCCAAGTCCTGGTCCGATTACCGCAACTCTCTTAAGCATAAGAAGAGAGACATTTCGCTTGAAGAACTTGTGGGCCATATGAAGATTGAAAAAGCCAACCGTTTAAAAGATAAGCTTACTAATTCTATGAGTAATTTATCTTTTAGAGCTAACTTGGTTGAGTCCAAATTTAAGAAGATCATGAAACGTGGGAATCAAGACAAAAAGACGAAACCACAGAAGGCTACCAACTTCAAGAAGTCAGGAAAGGCCAAACCGGAAGGAAAGACGTTCAAGTGTTATGTCTGCGGTTTACCTGGCCACAAGGCTTACCAATGCCAACACCGCTCAGACCGCCAGAATGACAACAAGCCACAGATGCACGTTGTAGAAGAAGATGATGAGATCATTATTGCGGTGGTCTCAGAAGTTAATCTGGTGGAGAACAGTTCAGAATGGGTAGTTGACACTGGCGCTTCGAAGCATTTCTACGCAAGGAAGGAGTTTTTCATTGAGTTCGAGGATGGAAACACTGGTGAACGTGTGTACATGGGGAACTCTAGCAGCTCTGAAGTGCTAGGCAAAGGCAAGGTTTTACTCAAGCTGACTTCTGGTAAAACTCTGGCTTTAAATAATGTTCTGTATGTACCTGCCTTGCGTAGAAATTTGATAAGTGGTGGGCTTCTGAATAAGGCAGGCATTAAGTTAGTTTTTGAGGCAGATAAACTTGTACTTTCCCGAAATGGTGATTATGTGGGGAAAGGGTTTTTAAGCAATGGTTTATTTGTCATAGAAACTCAATTTAATGAAAATAAAGCTACCTCTTCTGCTTATATTGTTGAATCCATTGATATGTGGCATGCAAGATTAAGACACGTGAATATTCATGCTTTAAAGAAATTAATGAATATGAATGTTCTGCCTAAACTAGACACAACTAGCTTTAACAAATGTGAGATTTGTGTAAAATCTAAGCATACTAGACCTCACTTTAAGACTGTTTCTAATAGAAAGACTGAACTGTTAGAACTCATTCATACTGATCTAGCAGATTTTAGAAACACTGAAAGTAAAGGAGGAAAACACTACTACATAACTTTTGTAGATGATTATTCAAGATATACAAAAGTTTATCTCCTAAGAACTAAAGATAAAGCTGAAAACTTCTTTATTATTTATAAGGCAGAAGTTGAAAATCAGTTAGATAGGAGAATCAAACGAGTTAGATCTGATAGAGGTGGTGAATATGGATCTAATTTCTTAAAAGATATTTGTGAAAAGAATGGCATAATTCATGAAACATCAGCCCCCTATTTTCCTCAACAGAATGGTATGGCCGAAAGGAAAAATAGAACTTTAAAAGAG